ATTTATTTCTCGAGCTTTCCATTTTTGATATCGGTTAAATACCCAGGCTCTATTGAATTCTGCTAAGTCAGCCTCAGTTTTATGTCTTCGATTTATTAGTCGAAGGCCTACCTTTTCTTATAATAATATATGGTTACGCTTTTTTGCTCTCTGAATTCTAAGCCACCATACACGATGCTCATCTGCTTTATTACTATATGCTAAAGTTAATAATTGAGCTCTTCGAAGACATTCATTTCTTACATATACTATATCATTCATAAGGTTATTGACCTGCCTATTAGCCATATTAAGCAAACCTTGATAATATAAGGCATCATTTGATACCCTTTGCATATGGGTACGAATAGTTGTTAATATTATTCGTATATCATTCAAGGTATTTTTGGGGTCAAATGATCTATTTCCATCAATATATAATTTAACACAGTCTATAGCTGTAGCAATATCTTTTAAAAGCTCTAGTAATACCATTGGTGAACTATTTATCTAGGATAATTTTTTATTTGTAATCTCCCTAATTCGCTTCTTAAGCTGTTCAACCATATCTTCTAACCTTAAAATATGGATATCTTGAGCAGTGCTGGCATCACCTTTATGCTTTAAATCCTGCAATACTTTGTAGAGACGCTGTTTAAGAGATTTTATCTCAGACTTAAAAGATTTTATTTCATCTTCGTGAACTAGTATTGTTGAATCCTGATGAGATAATGCCATATAACAGGTTTTTAGCTCTCTGCTAAGTGCTTTGAGTTTTTTATCCTTAAGTTTGTTTTCAGTTATTTCTTCCCCCAATTCTTTTCACAACTCTTTATTAGTATCAAGAATTTCTATGTAAACTGGATCTATGTTGATTCCTATTATTCCAATAGATTTGAGTAAATCTAGAAATTTAGATATATCTATTGATTTGCAAAAGATTTATTACCAGCCTTTGGGCTATCAGAAGACTGCTCAAAAAGCTGGGTTTAATTTTACCTTAAATGAAGTGCGTGATTGACTTGAGGGGCAAACTGTTCATTAGATTCATAAACCTCCAACCAAAATATATTCTATATGCAAGTTTTAGTTCTATTACTATTCCTAATGAGATATATCAAGAAGTCATTGATTCCTATTATGCAAATAGATTCGAGTAAAGCTAGAAATTTAGATATATCTATTGATTTGCAAAAGATTTATTACTAGCCTTTGGGCTATCAAAGGACTGTGAAAAAATTGCATGAAGCTTCTCTAAAAGCTGGGTTCGATTTTACTCTAGAAGAGGTGAAGGATTGGCTTGAAAGACAGGCTATATATCAGATACATAAACCTCATCCTAGAAATATTCCAAGTGCATCTTTCATTAATGTTACTATACCTATGGAGGTTATTCAAGCTGACTTATGCTAT